GGTCTCAGCAACAGAGTGAGACTCCAACTCAAAAAAAAAGGGGGGGGGGGATTAGCAGTATCGGGACACTGCCAGGGAGAGAGGAAGCACATAACATCAGTAAGGGCGCCCAACCCTAAACCAGGGCAAGTGGGACCACAGGGGGACCCAAACTTCACCTGTTTGGTCACTGTTTATGCACCTGATCCTGAATTGTACCCCACATCTTACAAAAAGTTTTCCATTACTCATTTAGCAGCAAAACATAACCTAAAATGGCACAAAGCAGTTTTGGTCCCTATTTGGCCCATTATAATTATTCACGTATTTTACTATAAGATTTGTCTATTTGACCATGCAGTGCTGGCTCATTCTACCCTCGAAATGTTAATGTTACCATACTATACGCATGTTGCATGTTATCTTTATAAATCTACCCCCAAAATTTGAATTCTAAAACACAAATGGTTTTGAATAAGGGGTGGTGGAAACATAAATAGACGAGAAATCAATCCTCTACCCATCCACCTGCCCAAAACGCACCCAAGACCGTTTCTGTATTTAGCCTAAAACTATAACTATCTCGTACAAGACTGTAATTTTATATGAAAGACTAACTTTACATTACCACTAATATCATAGACTCTAATGTGTTAATCACATAATTGTATGTGAATTCACCATACATTCACAAAATTAAGACTAACATCCCAATTAATAAAAAGGACTAACATTTATTGGTTGCTTTCTGTACCAGCTGCTTGACATATTATTCATTTAATCTTAATTAAAACTTTGGACAAGTACATTAGCAATATGCTCACTTTAAAGTTGGGGCCAGCCTGGGCTCGGTGGCTCAGTCTGTACTCCAGTACTTTGGGAAGTTGAGGTGAGTGGATTGCCCGAGCCCGCGGGTTCGAGACCTGCCTAGGCAACTTGGCGAGACCTCATCTCTACAATAAATCAAAAAATTAGCCGGGCATGGTAGTCCGTGCCTGTAGTTCCAGCTACTTGGAAGGTTTGGGCGGAAGGATCGCCGAAGCCCAGCAGCAGGTGAAGGCTGCGGTGGCCGGGAGCATGCCACCGCACTCCAGTCTGGGCGACAGAGTGAGACTCCAACTCAAAAAAAAAAAAAAAGTTGGGGCCAGATTTTTTTAATTTGCTGTTGCCTTACTAGACGATGGCGTGGCCTTGTGCTCTTTGAGCTGGCTGTTGCGATCGTTCCGGTTTTGGCCCCCTCCCCCTACTTTGGGGAGGTGAATTTTCTCTTTCTAATTTACTTTCTAAATAAACTATATTTTCTTTTCTTTTTTTTTTTTGAGTTGGAGTCTCACTCTGTCGCCC